TTAACTGAATTTTAAATCTTTAATGGAAATTGAGATGATTGAGCTCAAAATGCAATCATAGTGTGGTTTTCTAGAAAACCGTTCACGGTACCTATAATCCTTACTGATCTCAAGAATGCAGCTTGCGAAAAAACCGAGTTAAGCACCTTGGATTGTAATAGCGCATTTTCAGAATTTTCAGCAAGAAAAAAAACATGAACCCACCAATTCTTCATCTTCCCGTGGACCGTTTTCGTAATCTTCTTTCTTCACGTAGGGCGCACTTAATGGCGGATCTTCGTCCCTCTTAATCTTCCTCTTCATAGCCAATTTCTGCAAAATATTGGTTACAACATAAAAATTATCGATTTATCTTACCTTGGCTTGTGAAGTGGATCCAGTAGCTCCGACGAAGCCGACAGCAAGGTGACTGGAAGATTGGGAGGAAGAGGGAGCTGACGACAATGGAGGAAAAGACGACGAAGACAAAGACGAAGAAGATGAAGTGGAAGTCGCCCAAGGAGCTGACAAATATGAAGATGACTGTCTGTTCATTTCAGCCTGAACTTGAAGCACCAGTGCCTTTGGAAGTCTCACAATCAACTTTGGCTGTATTATCTCTCGGATAGCCAGAAATCCTCTCGCCAGTTCCGTTTCAGCGACCAGTTTGTCCAATTTTGAGCGATGTTGAAGAGGTGGAGATGCGTCCACAACAAACTCATTCGGAAGATGTTCTCGAATGCAGCAGATGATTTTTTGGAGAATAATTTTCTTGTCTCCTTCCTTTAAATATCTTTGATATTGGAAATTGATTCCTTGTTTCTTGCACTCCTTTTCAAAGGTTTTCCAGTCGATTTCGTCGTTGACAGTGATTGGGTGAGACATCATAGCCAAAAGTTGTTTCACGAGTTGGTGACTTGCTGAAAATTACTGTATTGTAAAGCAAGCAAAGCGGCTAATAGAAGATAATGCGCTCCGATTTTCATTGGATAACAAATACTGTAAAGGTCTCAAAGGTTATGTCAATGAAAAGCAGATTTTTCTCAAACTTCCTCGGATGTTTAAAATCACGTCAGTATGAATACTGTAGTTCAAAAATACTCAGAAAATTTTCCTGCCTTCAGGGTTTTTTGTTTTTGTGAGCGAGAGGAAGAGAGAGAG